TCCCGAGCTTTAATGCTCATCCTTATATGTGCTTAAGACACTGAAGCGTAAGAAACGTCCAGTCGACCACCACGGACCTACTGGATATAAGTCAAAAACTCACAGGGTAACCGAGAACGCTTAACTTCTCCTCCTGAGAAACATTAGCTAAAACGTTATGCTACTTAATGTTTTCGACCCGTTTTTCCTTTCTCGCTTTTTGACACATAATCAGCTTGAGTGAGCAACTTGCTTCTCCTGGGTCTCAAAGCTGGATGGGGACTGTGTAATAGCCGGGCCTCCACATTAGACTCTATGTTATAAACGTACTCTTAAGCAGTACGTATACTATACACGTACTCTTAATAGTACTAGGAATTTAAGTTTCCTAAATGTGTTTTAACGGTTTTATTAATTAATACCTTTTCTATTTTACATATCAGATATTTGGACGAGGCCATTAAAAGGCCCCGGTAAAATACCAAACATAAGATTTGGTCTAGTTGTATTAATAGAACTATATTTACTTTCCAAATCTATTTATATATGAATACTTCGGTAGCGAGATGGCTCAACCGAATATAGGTTTCTAGGGACTATTAGCGTTACCTAGTTTAACCTCCGATCAGCCAACCAGATGTGCCAGTCTGATGAAGGCTATGTCGGTAATTCTTGATAAGTGGCATGCTATTGGTTAAGATAATAACTAAAGACATCAAGAGTATTTTCTTTGTTCTTTTTACTTTTTTTTCTTCTAAAGATAGGATTTTATGAGTCTCTCAGATTCGCCCCAACGAAACATACCATAGTTTTTTAATAGAGCGACAACGAAACACTAAATAAAATCCCTTCGGCGAAAACAGTACTGAGAGGATTATATATAGGCAATGTCTCAGCCTCACAATCCCTCAGAGTATTGCTGTTTTCACGAGGCAGACCTAACTTTACCAAAAGACTCATTTCGTTTATTTACTTCGAATTCCACGATACATAGACTTAACCTAAGCGTTTAATTACTCTAAAGCGTTAATATAGCCTTGATAGACCGAATCTTACAGTATCGGACTTCTTGTCCTCGATTTTGAGCGGGTTGTAACATCCGCCTCCTGCGAGTAACGTGTACATTATCGTGAAGTGTCACTTGAGGTGTAGAGGTATCGGCTTTGTGCGGCCAATTATTTTGTTTCACTGAGCTGAGCTGCTTCATATCGTCCGCCATGCTGTTAGGTAACTGGCCAGTCGGTGTCGTCCCTACCTGCGTGGGATGTTGGGGAGCCCAATGTGCTATCTTTCGCTCAAGGAAAACATCACTCGATGCTGTCTGGATCATGTCATTGGCCGTAGATGTGTCAATATTCTTCAGTGGAAATTCAAGAAGTTAGTGAAGTTGTCCACGAATGAGATGAATAATTTCCGTAGCCTCCTACACATGCGTCAGCGTTCTCAAGTGACCATCTTGATCAGAAATCTACTCCGGATGTTGATTGACCTTATTCCACGTAAAAATCAAGTGCTGGGCCTCCGGGACCAAACGGGCCAGCGTCACGTGGATTTCTGCCTTTTCTTCATCCTCAGGTGTAGGGTGCCTAAAACAAATTACTGTCTCCACCGTAGCACAGAGTAAAGGCAATCGATGAGGAACTCCGAGCAACCGTCTTGATAACTGGTCACACACTTACTTGCCTATCTCCGGTACCGGTGTAGTATCGGGTCCCTTCATTATGGTAGGTAAGAATAATAAAAATATAAATTGATTCTCATTTAATTTAGTCCCTATAGAACGTAGTGTAACAAATTCAGTAGTTCAATCACTTAAAAATGTAATCACACCAAGGAACGCTTAGTAAAGACTGTTAAGTCTGAAATAGGTGAACTCATTCAGAAGTGTCGTTATGAACGGCGCGCCCGCTATATTTATACGAGTTTTTATACGAGAAATTACCCGTATCTAAGGTTGTCGTCTCCTGATACTAAATTATGATGACACCCGATGAGTCATCTTTCTGTCGCACTAAATCCTCTCTTCCACTATCTGGCTCGGTCCCCTAGCCCAGTCCTGAAATAACCTCCTTAGGTCTGGTCCTCTGTTCCAGTCCTCAAATTCCACTTATAGGTCGGGCCCTCTGGTCCTGTCCTAAATCTCCGTCCAGGGTACTTTGTCCACAGAGTAACACTTTGTAAAGGGTGTTTGGTAATTTCCAACCTAACGTCGTTTGGGGCGACTTTAACTTTAAAGCCCGTAAGTGTGGCCACGCATCCACAATTCACGGACTACGTATGAACTGCATTATCCATGTTGAGTCCTTATGGGTTGAAGAGCGTCATCCTCACTGGTCCTAACATTGTTCATCCTCGGTTAATACTAATGGGCCCTGGTCCTTGTTTATGTCAGCCATTTCTATATCGTTTTCTGTCGTCGAAGAGTCTGTGGTGGAAGGTTGAGGCTGCGCGGGGAAGACCGTTGGTACGTGGGGTCGTCCGGGCTGCGCACGTTCTGGCTGTGTGTTAATGCTATAGGGATAGTATTATTTATTTCAAAAATGGCAAGTATGTATGATACAAAGTATGAACATATGGTATGGCTCTCATAGTCGCTGTAGTGGTTCAGGAAAGATTGAGGGATTTGGTTATTAGGGCTTTAGGGCTTATTGGTCACCAAGATATCACAATAGTCACATGTCAGAGTTTTACATGTCAAGTGTCAAATTTGTCAACGTGCAGAAAGGACAAAAAGGCAAATGTCAGCCTGTCAGGCTGGGCCTGAAAATTACCCCCATAGTAGTTTTGGGCCGCTGTAAATGAATATAAACGTTCAACGAATAACGTTTAAAGAATTTTTTAAGCGTTTAACGTATAACGTAATGAGGTCTGCTCACAGACCACAGTCACTGTCTCAGTTCCACAATCTACATTATGTGAAGTGGTGCGCGGTGGAGACTGAAGACTGGAGAGTGGAGAGCGGCCGCAATCGGCGTGCGGCGGAGAAATAGTGATAAAAACTTGTGTTTTGAACTTCAGAAATTTTATTGATATGTTTTATCTCCGCATTTTTTTTATATGAATCTCCGCTGTTTTTTATATGAATCTCCGCCACTCTTTCACGACAGTGAACATTTTATGCCAGCTGGAGTCCCGAGTCTCTCGAGTCCCGAGTCTCTCGAGTCCCGACTGAGCCCACTGACCCACTCTCACTGTGATACCCAAAAAAAAGTACAATTTATGTGTTTGTATTTAGATTTTAGGGTTGTCTGTCGAGTGTAAATAGGACAGCCTGGACTCTGGAGCTTGTAGGCAGAGAGTGGTGACTGGTGACTGGGGAGTGCCTGACTCTGAGTGGCAGGGTGAGTGGTGACTGGTGTCCGATATGTTTAAAACAAAAACAAATTTAACCTCTCTTCTTGCAGTCGCTTTGGCGCCGCCTTTTTCTAAAAAAAGTGTACAATTTGTGTGTTTGTATTTTACTATTTTATATTAGGGGTGTCTGTAGGCAGAGAGTGGTGACCGGTGACAGTGGTGAGTGACTAAGTGGTGAACTGGTGACTGGTTTTCAGTAAAAACAAAACAAACCCCCCCCCCCCTGTCTTCTTGCCGTCGCTGCGGCGCCGCCTGTTTTAGTTTTCACTTTTTCCTTATTGTTGACGGACTCTGTGCTTCAGTGAGGAAAGAGAGTATTTAGAGACCATTCAGTATTCACCGTTTTAAACTGCGTAGATTTTATTGGGCAGCACATAGGCAGCAACTACATAGTAAACGACGCCAAATAAGTGTTGCAAAACTTTCAATACTTCACATTCCGTCTATTCCTTAAGGAGTAAAGACTAAAAAGAGTCTGGACTCTAGTGTGGTTTGTACTGTACTGTACTGTACTCTCTCTAGTTTCTACTGTTGTTGGGAGTGTATGAGATATGGGACTATTTACTCACTAATGTTGTTGGTAGTGTGATATGAGATATGAGTGGACGCCCTTTCAAAAATTGTTGTAAAAAATGGTTGCACAACAAGGTCACAAGCTCTCAAGTCTCAACTCACAGGCGGAGCGCGGAGGCCTTAAAGATCTCCTGAAAAAAAAAAAGCACTGCAACTCTGGGGGGGTTTTATTTTTTGGATTGTTGTCAATTTTGACACAAATTTACACCTGGACGGGTTGGACCTCTGTCTTCCGCTGGTGGAAGGTTACTGTGGCAGCCTGGCCCTAAAGTCCTAAAAAGCATTTTCTTGGAAAGTCCGGAGTATTTTGTCCACTTTTTTTTTTAATAGTTTTAAAAATAAATGTACAGTTTTTTAACAGTATGGTATGTAGATACTTTAAAAAAAAACCAAAGACATTACTTATTTCCGTTTGTTCCATACAAAATAAAAGTATCCTTTTATAATTTTTTGCACAAAATATTACCCTCTCAGGACTCAAGGCCCCAGCAGCCGAGGGTCTCAGGCCGCACGGGCTCAGGGCTCAGGCCTGCCCTCATGGTTTTACAGCCTCACACGGACACACAGTCACACTCAGGACTCTGGAGTCTCAGTCTCTTAGACTCTCAGGCTCATACTTGCGAAGTTGTGGACTTCCTAGAGAGTCCTGACTCCTGAATCCTGAACTTCTGACTCTCCCGTTCTCATTGCCCAATGCCCCCACCAGGGCCCACTCACCATTGGCCTCCGAGTCCAGGCCTCCAGGCTCCAGGACGCTTCTTTATTTATTTAAAAAGAACCCCCCAATAATTTAAATTAAATATACACCCACTGTCCTACTCCCAGCTTGGCCCTTTGGCCTTTGCCCCTGCATCGGAAATATTTTTAACATTTAGTTTTGAATTTTGAAAGGGAAAACAATAGTTTTGTTTTTCGAGAAAAAAAACATAATAAACATAATAAACACAGAACATCTAGCTGCCTAAAAAAAAGTGTCAAATACAATTTACCACCACGTAAAATCATGCGAAACCATATTATCATCCATAGTTCCATACACGTAAAAAAAGGTATATATAGTGGGAACCATTCGGACTTCATCCCACTCCTAATCACCTTCAGTTTTGTAGGAAATTAGATATAGTTTTGAATATGTGTCTCTCAAAGCAGAATAACATCGCCGATTCAGTGGCACGAGTAACTGATACTTTCAAGTCCGGGAAAACTTTACCGTTGGCTTATAGAAAGTAAGTCTGCTTATATTTTTCAACAACTGTGCGACGTTTACTATTCCATTACGATCAGCTTTATAAATTATTTGCTTGTTGAAGTTGAAGATGGCAACTTGTTGAAGATGACAACTTATATCCTTTCTCTTCTCTCCTAACTAGAAAGCAAATAACGGCAGTTCGAGCGCTCTTTACCGAAAACGCGGTATGTCTTAGCACCACATAAGCCGCGTCGTCATCTACATGTATACTAAAGACAGAGGGTTTTTGGTGCGTATCACCCGTATAGTAAAGCTGCGTCTCGGTTTCAGATTAATATGTAGTATTGAAGAGTGGAATGAAAGCTTGCTCATCTATCTGATTCTGCATGTTGGAATTTATTGTACGTATATAACCTTGACTGCATCTATTCAGAACGTACACGTGTATTCAATGAATGTCGCCTCGCTTCACCTGCATGGGTTCCATCAACCAGTTGCACACCTTTGCAATCTCGTTTGCAATATCGAACAATTTTGATAATTGTCCATAAGATTTTGGCCGCGAATGGTTAAAATAATTGATGTTCAAACACAGTTTTGAATATTCAACACCATAATATTTCCCTACAGGAAGCCATATACGATGCCGTATATAAAGATCTGCACAAATCGCGCACCGAGACGTTTCTGGCCGAGATTCAGATAAATATCAACGACTGCGACAAGCACCTAAACAGCATTGACGATTGGGCCGCACCCCGCTACCACAACACGGATGTGATCAATCTGCCAGCAGTCACCGCTACCCAACCCGAGCCTATGGGCGTAGCTCTGATTGTGGCATGTTGGAACTACCCCTTTGCCCTATTAGCCGGCCCGCTGATTGCTTGCATCGCTGCGGGATGTACGGCTGTAATTAAGACGGCATCAGAGGAACACGCCAACGCGTCCATGGCGCTGTGGTGCGAACTGCTTCCCCAGTACTTGGATAATGAGGCGTATGTGATTGTTAGTGGAGGCGCGGATGCGCTCGAAGGGCTACTGGAGCAGGTTAGTCTGTTGTATATATTTCAATTATTATACGTGTGCATTGCTACATTTGCTAGATATAGCTATATTAATAGTGACGTAAAGTTACGATCGTCTACAAGCTGACCATCGTATGCTCATCCACACTTCATTATCTCACTGCAGCGCTATGATGTCATATTCGCAACCGGGTCTCCTGGGCTAGGTCGCATGGTGCATAAAGCAGCAACTAAACATCTGACCAAGACAGTCCTCGAATTGGGTGGCAAATCACCTGTGTACGTGCACAGGGATTGCAACCTGACCATCGGCGCCAGACGTATCATGTGGGGTGCATGCGCCTTTAACAATGGGCAGACCTGTGTGCGTCCTGATCATCTGTTCATCGACAGGTGTGTTACGTATATAGTTGTTTATGTGTGATGTGCCGTCAGTAGTTGTTTTTGTTTTTGTGTGAATCGAATGTTTTGTGTATACGCATGTTGCCATGGCGGTTGTGCTCCGATACGGTGCATCTATCCCCCATTATGAATAAGATATCGTTATTTATTTTAGACTAACACGTGTTTGTTTACTGCAATAATTTGACTCACAGTACTATTGCGGACAGCTTCATTGCCAACCTCAAGAAAGAAGCCAAAGCCATGTTTGGCGAGGACGCTCAAAAGGGTAATACATACAATCGTATGGCTAAGTCCAAGGGACACTTTGAACGTGTGGCGAACATACTCAAGACAGACGCGAAGTATGTGGTGTATGGGGGTAATTCGGACGCTGCTGACTGGTATATTGCGCCCACTATTCTGGATTTTGGAACGGATGCTGAAGCGTTCCACAATTCGGCCGCTATGCAGGGTGAGATTTTCGGACCGATCATTCCGATTCTGCGTGTAGACACACCCGAAGTTGCGTACAAGTCAATCCTTTCTCGCGAGAAACCCTTATCCTTGTATGGATTCACCAACAACAAGAAGATACAAACCGAGATGCTCAAATTACCCGCGGGCACCACACAGTTCAATGATGTCGTTTCGCATGTACTGAACCCTGACGCTCCGTTTGGGGGTGTGGGTAATTCTGGTATGGGAGCGTACCATGGACAGGCCGGATTTGATAATTTCAGTCACATGAAGACAGTTATGGTGAACTGGTCAGCGAATGATCTGGCTGCCCGATATCCACCATATTCCGCGATGGACAAGAGACTTCTGCGGTTGGTCTTCAGAGAATGGCCTGATACCATGATAAACGTGCTGAATAACCCAGCCAAAGTGTTTATAGTTGGCGCAGCACTAGCAGCGGGTGCTGCCTACTATATGCACTTTATGAAACGCTAAACCGTTAGTGCACACGATATGTAAAAATATAGATATACGTATATATTGGTATTGATATGTGTGTATTGACATACACTGTATGGCACAGAGGCCGATGTATGAGGGATGTCACCTTAGTCAGAATCTTTTGCCCATTAGGGCTCAACTGAGAAACGATTAAATCCTCGCATATGATTTTTTAAATTTGCGACTTGGAAGTATACTGAACAAGTCAGCTTTATAAAGCCCCTCAGATGGGCCACTTGTTCGAATATGTGTGTGGTAATACAGGATAATGTAATAAAGATCTAAAACATTCAATACTAAATTAATTGAGCTAAAGCAACACACATTCGAGATCTGAGCTACTCAATCGTCGACAAGAAGTAGCATGTAATGTGTAAGTATTTGTATAAGTGTACGTACATGTATATGTGTATGTATACGGATTTAAAATAAGAGTATGTATGTTTTAAGTATATGTATAAGTTTTTGCATTTAAATATGTATGTGTATATGTATATGTATTTGTCTGTATATGTTTACGTGTATGCTTATGTGTATGTAGATGTGGATTTATATACACACAAACACACGCATATATATATATATATATATATATATTTATAAATACACACACTCACGCACACACACACACACACACACACACATATATATATATATATATATTATATATACTTGTATATACATATACTTCTTTATATATATAATATATATAGTAGTATATATATATACTATATTAA